ACCGGAACTGTACACAGTGACTCCCAGTGTGATACAGAGACCGGGACCTTACACAGTGACTCCCAGTGTGATACAGAGACCGGGACCTTACACAGTGACTCACAGTGTGATACAGAGACCGGGACCTTACACAGTGACTCACAGTGTGATACAGATACCGGGACCTTACACAGTGACTCTCAGTGTGATACAGAGACCAGAACTGTACACAGTGACTCCCGGTGTGATACAGGGTCCGGAACTGTACACAGTGACTCCCAGTGTGATACAGAGACTGGAACTGTACACTGTGACTCTCAGTACGATACAGAGATCGGAACTGTACACAGTGACTCCCAGTGTGATACAGAGACCAGGACTGTGCACAGTGACTCTCAGTGTGATACTGATACCGGAAGTGTACATACTGACTCCCAGTGAGATACAGAGACTGGAAATGTGGACAGTGACTCCCAGCGAGATATAGATACCGGAATTGTACACAGTGACTCCCAGTTTTGTGGAGAGACTGGAAATGTGCACAGTAACTCCCAGTTTGATATGAATCCTGAAAAGATGTTGCAAAGTTCCAAGCATGCTTCAGCCATTCATCAACACAGGTTATCGAATCGATTGTATATCTGTAGGAATGATCTCGTTAACGACCACTCGTGGAATTGAGGTGGGATTGATGCTTCTCTGTTTGCTTGTCTGATTTTGTGAGACTCCCCCATTTCATACAGTGGACAGATGGTCTTCACTGTTAGAGAAGGGAAGGGGGTGACTTTGTACTGGCTTCTTCCTGCGTCTCGGTCCATCACTGCTGAACCCCAGTGATCACCTATCCCCGCGCTCTGTCCCCTAGACAAATTTCTCAGCACCGCCCTGTCCCATCACCCTGCTCCGTCTCTCTCTGTCTGTCTCTCTCTCTCCCACAGCTCAACACACACGTTGGGAATATCCTGCTGGTGGACCAGTTTGAATGGGACATGTCGGAGAGGGATAATTCGCCCGAGAAGTTTGCATTGAAGCTGTGCTCGGAGCTGGGCCTGGGCGGAGAGTTCGTCACCACCATCGCTTACAGCATCCGTGGGCAGCTGAGCTGGCACCAGAGAACGTACGCGTTCAGGTCTGTTAGGGGTGCGGGTTACGGTTCAGCAAGGGTGTCCCAACAGCACGACCGAGAGGGTGAGGGTTCTGGATGTGTGCACTGACCTTTCAGCCTCTGGGAGAAGTTGGGTTGACGTCAACCTCTCCCCCTCCTGTCTGCCTCAGGATTTCTGGAAACATGTATCGATACCCTTATCAGTTCTGACCCTCCGACAGTGCGGCACTCCCTCAGCACTGACCCTCCGATGGGTGCAGCGCTCCCTCAGCACTGACCCTCCTAGAGTGCGGCGCTCCCTCAGCACTGACCCTCCTAGAGTGCGGCGCTCCCTCAGCACTGACCCTCCGACAGTGCGGCGCTCCCTCAGCACTGACCCTCGACAGTGCGGCACTCCCTCAGCACTGACCCTCCGACAGTGCGGCACTCCCTCAGCACCGACCCTCCGACAGTGCAGCACTCCCTCAGTACTGACCCTCCGACAGTGCGGCGCTCCCTCAGTACTGACCCTCCGATAGTGCGGCGCTCCCTCAGTACTGACCCTCCGATAGTGCGGCTTTTCCTCCGTCCAAGTCTCTCTCATTTTGGTGACTCAGTCTCTGTGAGCTTTGGTGACCAGCCCGAAATTATTGGCTACCAGTCTCAGCAGCGGGAACATGGACTGGACTGCTGTTCAGACAAGTGCGAACCCATCTTGCGTCAATTGCAGTGATTGGCACATTGCTTTGTGACTGCTTTGAGAAACGTAGGGAGACACCCGGGTAGTGCGAGGTAGTGGTGTGTTGAATTCGGTTGTCGGTGTGGAAATAGTTGTTATTTTAACGGCCTGGCTTCCCGTTCCGTCTCACCCAGCATTTGAAAATATTTCACCCTTGCCACTCCACCCTCCCCCACCCTCCCGATCCAAACCCATGTTTGTTTTTCCAGTGAGAACCCACTGCCAGTCGTGGAGAGTGCCCTCCGGAACACCACGGATGCTGACCAGTGGTGCCCCCTCCTGGAAACACTGACCGACGCCGAGATGGAGAAGAAGATTCGTGACCAGGACAGAAACACCAGGTACAGCACGACCAGCTGGAGTCCGAGGAACACCAGAATGCGGAACAGGAGTCGGCCGTTCGGCCCCTCGAGCTATGTCTGCCATTCAATAAAACCGTGGCTGATCTGATTGTGACCTCAACTCCACTTTCCTGCCTGTCCCTTCCCCAATCCGTGACCCTCCAAACCTGTTGTCAATCAAAAATCTGTCTCACTCAGTGTCGAACATATTCAGTGACTGGGCCTCCATTGCTCACTGGCAGAGAGAATCACACAGACTAATGACCCTCCGACAGCATAAATTCCTCCTCATCTCAGTCTCAGATGGGTAAGCCCTAATTTTTAAGCTGTGTCTCCCAGTTCTAGAGTCTCCCACCCAGGGGGAAACACCCTCTTGGCATCCAACAATAAGTTCCTCAGAATCTTACATCCTTCACTAAGATCAGCTCATTCTTAATTCCAGTGGATACAGGCACAACATATCCTCACAAAAGACATCCCACAGGGAACCCAGTTGAGAGAACCTTCTCTGAACTGAAAGTCCAATTGTATCCTTCTTTAAGTCCAGAGAGCAAAACTGTACACTCTGCTCCAGATATTGTGTCACGAAGGTCCTGTACAGTTGTGACAATACTTCCCTCCTTTTATACTTGATTCCCCTTACAATAAAGGTCAAAATGCCATCTGCTTCCTAATTACTTGCTGTACCTGCGTATTAACTTTTTTTTTGTAATTCATATACCGGGACACCCAGATCCCTCTGATCTACCAACTCTCTCCATTTAAAAATAAAACACCAGCTTTTCTATTCTTCCTGCCAAAGTGGATAAGTTCACACGTCTCCCATTATTTTCTCCATCTGCCAAATGTTGCCTTTTCACTTAAACCAATCTGTATCCCTTCGCTAGAATATTGTCCCCTTTGCAATGTATTTTCCTGCCTAGCAGTGCAAAGTGAGCAGCTCCCATCCACAGTCACACAATCAGTTGTTCCCTCGTTGGTGTTATTGATATGCTAAATGTAAATACACAGAATATAATTCCAATCAGTCACTAACGAATCCAATTTGGAACTCAGGAGAAATGCCCTTCCCCAGAACATCTGGGCATGTCATCACTCCCACAAGGAGTGGTTGGACTGAGTGGTGTCTTTATTCGTTCACAGAATGTGGGTGTTAGTGGTCAGGCTAACAATTACTGTCCATCCCTAAGTCCCCTGAGAAGGTGGTGGTGAAGAGTTTTCTTGAGCCACTGCAGTCCGCAGAGGGTAGGGACACCCTCAGTTCTGTTTAGGAAGGAAGTTCCAGGATTTTGACCCAGCGACACAGAATGAATGGCAATATAGCCCCAAGTCAGGATAGTTTGTGGCTTGGAAAGGAACTTGCAGGTGGTGTATCTGCTGTACTTGTCCTTTGGAACGGGAGAGGTCAGGGGTTTGGAAGGTGCTGTCGAAGGTGGTTTGGTGAGTTTGCTGCAGTGCATCTTGTATCCGACACACACACACACAGAATGTTGGCGGTGGTGGATTGGATGCCAATCAAACGGCCAGGTTTGCCCTGGCTGGTATCAAGATTGAGTGTTGTTGGAGCTGCACTCATACAGGCAAGTGGGGTGGGGGGGTGCAGTATTCCATCACAGTCTTGACTTGTGCCTTGCAGATGATGGACAGGCTTTGGGGGAGTCAGGAGATGAGTTATCCACTGAAGAATTCCCACTTGCACTTGCAGCCATATTATTTATTATGGCTGGTCGGTGGCAATCCCCGAGAAATTGATAGTGGAGGGGGAATGTACTGTTTGTTTGTTAGGATATGAAGGTGGTTGCTGGGTCAAAGTCTTGCTGAACGATTCTGTGCTTGTCTTTTGTTCTTGAAATCCTGCAGACGGATGCGACGCCTTGCCAACACTGCTCCCAGCTGGTAACCGGGGACTCTGCGCCTTCTGCCAGCTCTGTCACATCGTGGGACCGGGGTTGTTGTTGCAGGGGGGAGAGGGATGAGTTGGGGGGTGGGGGGTGCTGTGGAGGTAAGAACATAGGGTGGGAACCAGTGGAGCTACTGTTTGGTGTCGATCATTTCCACGACTGCTGCCGCCTCTCGCACTTTGGGAACTTGTGTTCCATGTTTTTGTTTACTCTGTTGGTCTCGTCATTTACTTGTCCTCATCAACAGCCAATTGGTTTCGATTCCTTTCACCCCCTTGTCTCTTCCCTGCCTCCAACTGGCTGCCTGGTGGGAGTGTGGGGAGCCGAAACGGACGTGATTTGTATTCATTCAGTAAACACTTGATGCCAAACCAACATATTTTTGTCATTGGGTCTTGTGTGGAGGTGAGTGGAGCACAGGAACAAGGCCATGCCAGTTGTAAACTAAAACATCAGAGACACATTTGGTCATAGCCCAATTTTCACACCCAACCCCACCCACACAGGTATTGGGGCTCTCACCCATCCATTGTTAATGGACTGATACATTCGCCACGCTCCACCTCCTAGTGGCAAGAAGGGATGTGGTGTTTGATGCTGGAAAGGGTGGGTGCGTCCCAGTGCCCTGGAGTCAATATTTATTCCTTAGCCAACACCCAAGAACGGACTTTCTGATGTCATAGCTCATGGCCGTCTGTGGAATCTTGTGTTTCCCACACCGTAAAGAGTGGCGACATTTCAGAAAATGCTTTGCCTTTTGGGATAACACAAGGTGATCAACGTTTTGTAGAGACAATGGATGCGAGAGAGAGAGAGATCAGTTGAGGAGGATTGCGCGAGAGGGACAGAGAAATAAAGAAGGAGAAAGGGCAACAGGGAGAAAGAGAATGAGTGACACATACAAAGTGATTAAAATGGGGTGGTTAAAAGTCATTGAATTATTCGGGGATCAGTCACAATCATGCTGAAAGGCAGGACAGGGTCCACAGGATGACAGCCTACTTGTGTTTCGATGTTCCCAAAATAAAGAAGTGGAGGAGAGATTAACTAAGCGAGATCAGAGAGGCAGATATTTTGCTTTCAATAAACTTGATGCAATTCATCCCAAATCTCATCAGACTGTGATTAAGATTTGTAACATTGAGCTGCGACACATCCCTTTTTCCAGCAGCAGAATGTGGGATGCATGTGGATTTCCCAGGAAGAAGAGCGCAGAGCATCGACCTTTGACCTGTCAGCAAACTGGGCAACAACGGAAGTAATGAAGAGGCACCAACATTGGAATGAACTGGGATTAAAGGCCATTTATCCAGCAATACACACAGTTGTCCAAGCACCTACAAACGTGACCCGTCACTCCAAAATTGACCATTCAATCCCAAACTCTTAAGCCTGAATGTCCGTTTGTCCTAAACTGACCACTAACTCAAGGTGACCCCTCACTCGATATCTCTGCAAAATTCACCAGTTGCGACAACCCACTGTCTTTCAGCAACCTACTTTAAAACCCAGAGCTCTCCCTAGCTCTAATGTCCTCCAACCCCAAAAACCTTCCCTATCTCTGTACTCTCCTCCAGCCCCTACATATCTCCTTATCTCTGTACCCTCCTTCAGCCCCTAAAACCCTCCCTATCCCTGTAACTTCCAACAGCCCCTACACCCCTCCCTATCTCAGTAACCTCCAACAGCCCCTACACCCCTCCCTACCTCTGTAACCTCATCCAGCCCACACACCCCTCCCTATCTCTGTACTCTCTCCTGGCCCCGACACCTCGCCATCTCTGGACCCTCCTCCAGCCCCTAAACTCTTCCCTATCCCTGTAACCTCCAAAAGCCCCTACACCCTTCCCTATCTCCGTAGCCTCCTCCAACCCGCACACCTCTCCCGATCTCTGTAACCTTCACCTTCAGCCCAACACACCTCTCGATCTCTGTCACCTCTTCCAGTTCCTAAACCCTCCCCATCCCTGTAACTTCCTCCAATGACTACACTGCTTCCCATCTCTGCAACTTCCTCCAGCCCCTAAACCCGTCCGTGTCTCAGTAACCTATGGCCTAGCACCCCTCCCTATTTCTGTAACCGCCACCAGTCCCTAAACCCTGTCCCTACTTCTGTAACCTCCTTCATCCCTCCCTGTGTCTGCAACTTCCTCCATCCCTGCACCCCTCACAATGTCCGCAAACTCCACCTTCAGCCCCTACATCCCTCTCAATCTATGTAACCACTTCAATCACTGCACCACTCCCCATTTCTGTAACTTCCTCCAGACCCTAAACCCGTCCGTATCTCTGTAATTTTGCACGGCCATACACCCCTCCCTACCTCTGTAACCTACTCTGGCCCCAACACCCATCCGATCTCAATCTCCTCTGGCACCCACACCCCTCTCTATCTCTGTAACTTCCTCCAGCCCTTAATGCAATCCCTACCATTGTAACCGCCTACACCCCTCCCTATGTCTGTAAACTCCAACTTCAGCACCGACATCCCTCTCTATCTCTGTCACCTCCTCCAGTAACTACATCCCTCCCCATCGATTTAACCTTCTCCAGTTACTACACGCCTCCTTATCTCTGTAATCTCCACTAGCCCCTACACCCCTCCCTATCGCTGTAAGCGCCTCCATTGCCTACTGACCTTTGTATTTCTGTAACTTCCTCCAACCCATCAACATTCTCTATCTCTGTAACCTACTCCAGTCCTTACACCACTCCCTATCTCTGTACTGTCCGCTGGCCTCCACACTTCTCCCTATCTCTGTAACATCTCCCAGCCTCTACAGCCCCTCCCTATCTCTGTAACCCCCTCCAGCCCCTACACCCCTCCCAACCTCTGTAACCTTCCCTAGCCCCTACACCCCCTCCACCCCCTCCCTATCTCTGTAACGTCCTCAAGCCCCTACATCCCCGCCCTATCTCTGTAACCTTGTCCAGCCCCTACAACCTTCCCTATCTTTGTAAACCCCTCCAGCACCTACACCCCCTCCCTATCTCTGTAAACCCCTCCAGCCCCTACACTCCCTCCCTATCTCTGTAACCCCCTCCAGCCCCTAAAGCCCTCCCTACCTCAGTAACCTCCTCCAGCTCTCCTCCCTATCTCTGTAAACTCCTCCAGCCCCGACAACCCCTCTCTATTTCTGTCACCCGCTCCAGCCCCTACACCCCTCCCTACCTCTGTAATCTACTCTGGCCCCAACAACCCTCCTTTCTCAATCTCATCTGGCCCCCACACCCCTCTCTATCTCTGTAAACTCCTCCAGCCCCTACACTCCCTCCCTATCTCTGTTAATCCCTCCAGCCCCTACACACCCTCCCTATCTCTGTAACCTCCTCCAACCCCGACACCTGCTCCCTATCTCTGTAAACTCCTCCAGCCCCTACTCCCCTCCCTATCTCTGTAACCTCCTCCAGCACCTACACCCCCTCCCTATCTGTTAACCCCTCCAGCACCTACACCCCTCCCTATCTCTGTAACAGCCTGCAGCCCCTGCACCCCCTCCCTACCTCTGTAACCTCCTCCAGCACCTACACCCCCTCCCAATCTCTGTAACATCCTGCATGCCCTACACCCCTCCCTATCTCTGTAACCCTTTCCAGTCCCTACACCCCTCCCTATCTCTGTAAACCCCCCAAGCCCCTACACCCCCTCCAGCCCCTACACCCCCTCCCTATCTCTGTAAACTCCTCCAGCCCTTACTCCCCTCCCTATCTCTGTAATCTACTCTGGCCCCAACACCCCTCCGATCTCAATCTCCTCTGGCCCCCACACCCCTCTCTATCTCTGTAACCTCCTCCAGCACCTACACCCCCTCCCTATCTCTGTAACATCCTGCAGCCCCTACACCCCTCCCTATCTCTGTAACCCTTTCCAGCCCCTACACCCCTCCCTATCTCTGTAACCTCCCCCAGCCCCTATACCCCTCCCTATCTCTGTAACCTCCTCCAGCCCCTACTCCCCTCCCGGTCTCTGTAAGCCCCTCCAGCCCCTACACCCCTCCCGATCTCTGTAACCTCCTCCAGCCCCTACACCC